AAACTTTGACCGGGGTTACACACTTGTTGATTACAAAATACATATTAAAACTGGCAGGAATATGTGGATTCTGTAATGTTAATAATGTACGTAACATCAAACTAACTTGTGAGTGACGGAAAGCCATAAAAGTGAAGTACAAAATACTCGCTCGCCATGTCATAATTGTCCTTAGGTTTCCAAGCAGTATACATAACACATGACTGGCGAGCGATGACGTAACGTGCTGACTGCGCGTTCTGGTATGAGCCAACTACATAAGCACGGCTAGGGAGTATCATCGCACTCAAGGACAAACATAGATAAGGGCTCTCAGCTGAGAGGTACAGCGAGGTACAGTGCTTGGACCTGCCAGAAGACCACACTTTTCTTGGGCCATTATCTCCGTAACCGTTCAACTTTGGACATAGGTGTTTTGGGTTATATCGGCATACTTTAACATAAGGAACACCCTCCCGGAGTTTGGCACATTCCTCCTGGGACACCCTGTATAGGGTATCTGGCATCAGAATGCAGATTTCCCCCACTGCTTCTTTACTGTACTTGTTTATGGTTCTGTGATGTGAAATATATATGTTATTGAGTAGTTTCAAACACAAAGGGAAACAACAAGAAGAAGTTCTGGAAAGAACTAATCACCTACTTTCCTTTGATACAACGGGAACCCCATAGAAAAGGACATGTATAACAATTCTTCTGTTGGTGTGTGTGTATTCATTGCCATGGTAATGTTTCTACCAAGCCCTTGCCTAGCAATGATAATGGGATACACACACAGACACACAGACTGATGGGAGGAATTTGTGAAGTACACCAATGAGGTGACGTAGGTGCTGTGATATAGATACCAAGTTTCATAAAGATTGGTTCAGGCATTCAGAAGCTGATGGGGCAGGGTGGATACTCAGAGACAGACAGCATGGTGATCTCAGAAACCCACTTTTATTTTTTAAAACTAAGGAATGTATGTTAAAAATGGACTAAGCTGCCATAACTAAATGTTTGTTTCTGACATATGATGTTACTAAGGGATGTGCTTCCTGTCCAAGAACATTGGGTGGGTAGTCTGAAATTATTGGCATAAGTGGTATCTTTTGTCCAAGACTGGTGTTCAGAAAGCCTTCTCAGAAGTTTGCAGATAATAACCTGAATTGGTATAGAAGTACCCTCACAACATAGTATATTACTTTTCACACTGACGACATGGTCAAACTGGTGAAAGGACAGGAAGGAAAAGGAAAAATAGGGAACTTGGTTGCTAGTCTATAATTGCAAAAGATTTTACTTGGTATATTGTTTTTTGAAACATATTCTTTCATATTTATTGCAAATTTAAATGTGTGAAGATAAAAACAAGGCAACAATTGTTAGGCAGTAACATCCACAGATCCTGAATGATTGTAACTGATGCTTTGGTTTTGTAGTTCGGGTTGAGATGAGGTGTGTCATAAACCAGGATATGAATTTATGGCTGAAGGTGAAGCAAAGAGTCTTGATGATGTGCATCAGTAAAAGTTCCATCTCAAGCTTTGATCATACCACTTAATAATAAGTGCAGGAGTTGAGGTGGATCACCTGTCAAGATGTGCACATGCACTGCTGCTGAAGTTTCCAGATTTCCTTACTCTCCCTAACATTGGAAATTGCCTAGTTCACTCTCAGATGCACAGGAATAGTCAAAAAAGATTCCATACATAAAACAGTGACCACTAGCCTGAAGTGAGTTAGTCTGCACTTATGCATAGAAGCAAGGTGGGGTTTGTGTGTGGTAAGACAGTGTGATGAGGGACAGATGCCCAGTGAAGGTAAACTACGCACAAAGGAACACAGCTTGAACACCTCAACATGAAAATAGCATGAGTGAAGTGAATATGTACATTCTCAAATAAAGACAACGTGCAATAATAGGATGTAAATATATTGACATATGAGTTCATGCAGAGCAGAGATTTCAGTCAGGTAACACTTGCCTGATGGCCTCCCCTCTCAGCTACTCTCAGGCAGCTACAACAATAATAGTCTGGGAACGTTCTGATACATCTCATATAGCTGTAAGTGTACACCTTTTAAAAATATATTGTTGCAGAGTCTTTTGTATCTTGTGCCATACCAAGAAGATGAATCATCCCAACATTCTGAAGGATTTACAGCCTCCTCCTTCAAGGTTGAAGTAAAGTAAAATTTAATACCGGCAGGTTTATATATGAAGAGAAACCAGTCACAAATTTTAATTGGTACAGCACAATGGAAAGTCATTGGTCAGTATTTTGTGACTATGGTGAAGTACAAATGGTTACCCATCCATATCATGACCAGGATCAGTTTTGTAGCCCTTTGTATGTGAATTCTCATGGATGGGTCTACACGTGTATTTTACCACAGTCACATGTACGAAATGCTGATAAGTCTGTTCTCATGACCACATTTTAGACCAACAAATTCTCCTCATATTTTTGTGATTTCATTTTTCTCTGGGGTAGGTTTATATATATTGTCACATGTACAGGGTTGTGTGACTAATAATTGTGGGCTCTAGATTTGATGATTTGATTTCTTTTCCATCTCTATTATAATCACAGTTGATTATAACAGTTCACACATTGAGCTCCTTCTTGACAATGAATCTCTCACTGTATTTCTTCCGTTTCTCAGACTGGTCTCTAGTCTTCAGCTGCTCAGTACAACTGACTCCTGCGAATCCTTTTATGACCCAGTGCAGACTGCAGACAGAACACATACTTGAACTGTTCATCTGTTGCCATGGTAATGCATTGACCAGTAACGGTCTATTTCGCGTTGCCACAAGAACATGCTCAGCAGATGGTCATATTGTGGCTTTCGAACATGATATCACAATATCACTTTCTCACTTCTTGTTGAGTTCAACAGGTTTTTACTTTATGCATTATGGACAAAGATGTACCAGTTGGATATATTCCTTCACAGAAGCTTGCTGGGTATATGCCTCATTGTTGTAATAATTGTTGATTTCGGGCATAATTTCACTTGTTTATAATAACATTTCTTTTTTTTATGTGGGAGAAGTAACAAAATTTTGCTTGCTCATCTGTAAAACATGTTGCATCATTAAACAAATAAGTTCCTTAATGTGTAACTTAGATCATCTGGTACCTGTCCCATCCTTGTTCTTTATTGGTGGAAATGGGGTGCCCCTGGAAGTAGTGGCTGGAGAAGTGAACGAGCCTGAATTGCTTCGTAGAATCACTTTAGTTTTGGAAAAAAGTGGGAAAGCTGTGTCACCAGGTAAGATATAAATTGCTTACCGACAGCTAATTTGAAAACTTAATTTCAGTGCAGTGAAGAGAAACTCAAGAAGATACTGAGTGAACTTGACTTGGTTCATCCTGGTCCGTCACATTAGCAGTAGTGTATAATGACTCATAGCACTGTCCAGTGTGATTGATCTATAAAAGTTATATTTCAGTACTTCATTTTCCTTAACACATTTCAGTCGGGTTGACCATAAAAGTTATACCTTGTAACGTTTATATATTAATGACATTGTAATAGTGGTTTTCTAAATGTTGATCATGTCTTTCTGAAGATGGTCAACCCGACTGAAACATATGAAGGAAAATGAAATATTGAAATACAGCTTCTATAAATCAATCACACTGGACAGTGCTGTGAGTCATTATATAATAATACTGAGTGAAATGTATCAAATTTCATGTAGAGTATGTTGTTATCTTAGTTAACATACTATATACATATTTTCCTTAATAGTACCATGTTAATTTAAAGTGCATTCAATGAAAATAATAGTAAAATTTATTCAAACAACACATATGTTCCATGTACATGGAAATTCCTGTTTAATGAATCTGTGGAGGAATGAATTTTCTTACACTCCCTAATCAGTAATATCACATTAATTTCTAAAATGATTACTGACATATGAAGTAGACACTTAAAATACCTAAGCTGATAATAAAAACAACCGTGATGCCACAAGTGTGATTTTTGAGCATTTTCAACACATGCCATCACTCGCTGAAAATCGTGGTTGTGCTGTAACAATTTCTGGGAGAGAGAAAACAAGAATTTCAGTTGTTGTTTTGACCACAGTTACACTGAACTGAGACGTTTCCCCCGTGTGTAATTAAGCAAGATGACATATGGTGGAAGGGAGACCACGAGACCAAGAAGACAGTCGTGGTAGGAAGTGCACAAAAATCTCAACTGGTTTCCCAACCCAAGTGAATGGGACATTAGGTTTAAATACCAAAATACAGAGTTTTATAATGAAGGTCTTTGTTATAATATTTAGCATTTAGTCACAATTTGCTTCATCAGAAATATTCTCTATCTGCAGAAGACAAAGCTGCAGTGGCAGAAACACAGGAAACCAAACAGGACTCTCCAAAAGCCACCCCTCATGAAACAGGAAGCTTTATTGTAGGTGCATCATCATCCAAAGAAGAAGCAACAGAAGTTAAAAACATGAATGAGGATCAAATCCAAGTAGCAGCTAATGGTGAGATTCATCTTCTGTATCCTGTTCTTAGCAGCTCCTCCCCTCTTATCCCTACTGTCTACTAATGCTTGGTCATGATCACTGCATTTATCCCTGGTTAAATTGTTGCGTTCACTGTGTTCCCCAGATGGACTGGTATGTCCAAGCTTATCTTTCAACAAGAAAAACCTGAATCTCCAGAATAACAAGTATTTAATAACACCCAAACCTCAATTCATGACGTACAGTAACAGTAAAAAAAAAACAAGACTCAAACCATTACTTCAGTACTTCAAATATGCATTTATAACAAAACTATACCTTCAGCTAACTTGTTCGGTCCAGACTGAAAACCAGAAAAAACACATAAAGTAACCACATGGAGCTGTCTACCTATCCCAAACATAGGAAATGGCCAAAACCCACGTAATGTTTGCGAGTCAACCAAGATCACAATGTTGCCCCATTATATGGTCATACAGCAACACTAAATGGGGCAATACCAAACAAAAACTCATATTACAACATCCCCAAATGAAAAAACGTACATACAGTTGCAATAAGGAGGTTCCTTGCCCTCATGAATCATTGCAGCTGGACATGTGAAATTTGGTATGTAGGTCATTTACATGCCTAACCCTTTCCGGTTATAGCATTGTGACAAATTTCCTCAGCCAGGACATCAGGGGTATTTAAATGCTGTTGAATGTCTGTAAAATTAGGAAAATTATTACATGTTTTGGGTAATAATTTAAACAATGTACAATTTTATGTCAGGAATAAAAAAACAACACTTTTGGATAGATCAGTCTTCTTTCTTTCATTTACATATAACTTTGGCCGTGCCATAGCTCAAGCGGTTAGTCGCTGGCTTCCCACCGCGGCGGCCCAGGTTCAATCCCAGGTCTGGTCAAGTGGGATTTGTGGTGGACAAAGTGGCGCTGGGGTGGGTTTTCTCCGAGTACTTCGGTTTCCCCTGCTAATCTTCATTCCACCAAATTCTCCATCATAATCACCCGGGGCGGTCTGCACTAGGCCAATCAGTGTCCGCTGTGCTGAGTGGACCCAGTTGGACTCCACCCCCCACTAAGTGAATTTAAAAAAAAAAAATTGCATATAACTTTTAATATAATGTTATGTGTCGGGTATATGTCACGTGACAAATAACTTCACGCTGTTTTGGATCTAATGAATTTATTGCACTTTCGTTCTCACATTTACACAGTTTAAAATTTTACAAGTACTGCCATCTGCAGTATCACAATTACGTCTTCTGCTGTAGTCCTTGCCATGCACTCAATACAACCCGACTCGGCAACTGCTCAATTGCAACTGCACTCAGCGACTTCACGATCCACACTGTGTCGCTCCTGATCACACACTCTGCTCACGTATTGCTCAGCTGGCTTTTTATACTGTTCCCTGTTGCCTTGTGTTACCAGCAGTGTCCCCTGTTACGTCACTGCGGGGAGGGGGAGGGAGTGTTGACTGGTCTGTTACCGTAGCAGCGGCAGTTGCTCTGATGCTGTTACATCACTGCTGGATGGGGGGGGGGTGTTTACCGAGTGTTGGGCCATCCCCGTCACAATAAGATATGCCACAGGTCTTGATTTACCAGCTGTTATGTAAGAGGATGCACAAGTGATAACGCTCAATGTCATGGGGAAATTGTTACATTTTCTGTTACCACTTCATTCCATTTGCACCCTCATATAATAACGTTTTTAACATTAAAAAAAATTATGGGAAGAGTATGGCATAATGAAATATTTCTTGTCTCTATTATACATTGTTTTCTGAACTTGTTGGGCATTCCCAGAATTCTATACAGTCTTGTTGTATTGAAGCAAATACACTCGTAATACTTTAAGGACAGATGGCATCCATCCATAGATTGTATTACTGTGTAGATTTTGGTGAAATACTAAATCATTTTAGTCAAAGTGAAAGTCACATTGCAACTGACTCTCAGTCAGTCAGTAAGTCTGGGTGTTGAGGCCCATGTGGGGCTCATGACCAGATATTTATTACTCTTTGACAGTTACGGTCTTGTTTTTGTGGGGTGCCCTCTCTGACAGTAGGAGGGGTCTGTCTTTTGTGTATGCTCCTGGTCCTTGCCAGCATAGTCTTTCTTGTGTCCAAGTCCCTTGGGACTCCATGACCATATTTTACTGTCTCAGATTTGAGACTTCCCTTTTCGTCACCTCCTATGACTCACAGGGTTATGGTGGAGGTATTCGACCCTGCCTCCACACACTTCTCTCAGCTGCCTATATAATGGTCTGAACTAATTTTTCTGTTTACTGCAGTTGTGGTCCATTGGATTGGGACATCATGTAGTTTTGTGGGTGGATACTGACATTTCAGAGGAACATGCTCCCTTGTAGTTTGTAGGTTCAGAAATGGGTTTTGTTGCAGGGGGAAGTTACAAGGAGACTGATTTATGTTTGTAAATGCTTACCGACTCAAATATAATTAAGTTTAATAAATACTACATGTACAAAAGTTTTTTAAAAATGGGTTCCTCTTTTTTTTAGAGTATCATATAATGTTGTTATAGAGGTGTTACTGGTCTTTAAAAGACACGAGCTCTTAAAATAACAGTAATACTTCAAAATATGTCATGTGGTCTCCTCAGCATTTATTTTTTCAGACGTCTTCATTGTTTTTATCTTTGTCAGTGAAAACTTTAATGTTCACAATAATTGCTAAATATTTCAGCTGTCACAGGATTGACTCCAGAAGAAAAGATAGAACGAGCCAAAGAATTGATAGAGAAGAAACGGAAACAGAAAGAGGAAGAAGAAGAACAGGTAAAAAAAATTAAGATTACATTCTCAAATGAAGACCTATGATAGAGCTGCATGAATCTAAACTAGATTAATGGATCCAGACATCTTATTTGTTCATTTACTCAAGTACATTATGAAGTCAACATCCAAAGACTGTATTTCTTCACAGTCTTCATCAGTTCATTTGATGTGCTTCTGTAAAGCATCAGTTAGGCTGAAGTAGGATGTTATATTTGTGTTAAGAAGGTGTTAGCTTGGCCCTATGCCACTTATAGTGCCATTTGTTCCTTTCTTTTACCAGTGTTGTCTCACCTGTAGTGGAGCCAGCCTCCATGCTTTACTTGTAAATCAGTTTATGACAACAGTAGTCATGTCCTGCTGCTTTGGCTGTAGACACAAAGGGATTCAGAATGTTCTTTTGACATTAGTAGGTGAAGTAATTTGCAAAAGGTTTTATTTGGACAATGCATTCCCAAGAACATGCAGTAAATTATTTTAATTCATTCATTTAGACTCAACAGCAGAAGGAAATTGAGCGTCGTAAAGTGGGGCAGGAAGTTCAGAAACTGCGTAGGTGGCAACAGGATCAGGAATTAAAACAACTCAAGGAGGAAAGGCAGAAGGAGAAAGCGGAAGAGGCCGCAGCTAGGGAGCGAATTCTCAAGCAGATAGCTCAAGACAGGTAAAGTTTTCTGGAATTGGGCAGAATGTAGTTTCATTCAAATGTAAATAGAATAAATGTGCTGATATGTAATGTTGGAAGAACATTTTTTTGGTAATGGCCAGCCAAAGAAGTACGCAGTTGATTGGTAATAGCAGTCTGTGAAATGATAACCATTATTAAGAAGAATAAGCTACTGTGTTCAGATAGTTGTGTTCTGGGTTTGAGGCACCATGTAGTGTTGTGGGTGCTTTGTTTCAAAGGAACCTGCCAACTCCATCTTGACATCATAACCCAAAGTCAAAATAAACCTTCATTGCCATGAAAACTGCAGATCTCACATAGGCTACAATAGCCAATTTTATTTTTTGGGGTACCTTTGTCCAGTACATAAAAATTTGCATGTGCAGGCAATAGAATAAAGTGTTGTATATACTGAGCATGTTCAGTCACATGATGCAGAGTGTTTACATCTGAGCAGAGTGAAATTAATAGAAGTGCGGGATGATACATGAATGAATGAATGAATGAATGTATAAGGGGTGGGACTTCTCGGCCCTTGCACCACAACCTACAGTGGTCTATTGTACTTGAGGATGATACTAAGAAGGAGCTGTGGAATTTATGCTTTTGATCTAGTGTTGATGGAATAACAAAATCAAGATTGATGTGACTGGTGCATGTGGAGGAGAATTGGCCTTTTTTGGGTGGGAAAAGAATATTGTAACATGTTTTGTTTACTGAAGACACTGTTGACAATCCAAGTTGACCTACAAGTCGTGGCTACAGTTAATTATGACACTGTTACGGGTTTGCACACTTTACAACCGTACACAATAATCTCTTCACTCTCTCTTCAGTGGTCTTCACGTATTTATAATGTGAGAGCTATACAAGTGTCACTGAATTACAAACTCCCAGTACCTTCTCAGTTATCACAAATTATCACTGATTATCACACATAAACTCTTCTAATCACGCGTCCGGTTCTTCTTCTTCCACGGCTGCTGTACTTCAACTGAACTTGTGACGTCTTCTTCACGTTCACAGTTCACTCGCTACAGCTGAACTTGGCGGCTGCTAGACTTCCACTTGCTCCTTGGGTATTCCAGTTTCTCTTATAAACCCTCAGCCGGACAGCGGAAAATGCACCTCGCTTCACTATTGCATAATCATCATGTCTACTGAGTGCCTAGCAGTGGTCACTGCTCGGACTCACATGTTGCGTGATGTTACAGCCTAATGGGAGGAATGTTTATCAAGCATTGTGTAGTTACGGAATGAGTGGGGTGTGTGACGTCACTCGCACTTTCTGTTGTGCAATCCAAGCGTTCACAGAGTTGTCACCTAGCAATGCACCCATACAGTCCGCAACTCTCACGTTGCGCATGTGCCCTGAGGCCTCTGTGGCTCAACAGTTCCTGCATAGCGCAAATACATCACAATATGTATTTGATAGATATTGAATAGCTTTTATATGTAACTGATTTGGAAGAAGATGCAGTTGGACTTGATAGATGCTATACTGATGGAGGCGATGACATGTTCGAGACACAAAAATAAATGAAATAACCATACAAACAAACAAGAACAACAATAAATATTCTTTCTACAGTTTAACTCTTCTATAGATGTAAATGAGGGACTGAAATTATTACACTTTCGTTCTTGAAAAATTTATCCACGGAGAGTTGACGTTCAGTAACTTTTGTGGTAAGGGAGCTTCAGTACTGTGGCCTCCAAATTCCTAAATCCTGCACAAAATTACTTTTTAAAGTGGAGGCATGTTGAACACATTGTTTTTTGCCAGTGACTGCAATCACTGTGCAAACTCATTCAAAGCTGTGAGCTGCGTTCACCATAGTAACACAGATACTTGAAGAGACATGGCAGACATTTGCACTGTGCTGTGAAGTCTGCCACGTTCAACAATATGGGAATGTAGAGGACTAAACAAAACTCCATGATTGTATCAGTATTCTGTAATTTTTTTCATTTCTAATGCAGTGATTTATCTGTAATGTCTAATTTTGAATGTGTACTTACAAGAGATTCTCTCTGTATGTAAAATGGAATGTGACATGAATGTGCTAATCTACTCTTTTTCTTTCCCTCCTGATTTTATAAGTCTTATATGATAACGTACTCAAGGAACAAAAGTATTGTAGCATTTGTGTGTAACCAACTAAAGAAGCAATTTGTGCTGCTTTATTCAGAGCTGAAAGGGCCTTAAGATCCACTGCAGAACAGGAAGCAGCCAGGAAACAAGCAGAAGGGGAACTCAGGAGACAATCAGAACAGTGCGCTAGAGATGTTGCTGCCCACTGGTGAGAAACATCAGAGACTCATCTTCCTTTTTTAGCCCTCCAAACTTCTTGGCACAAATATTTATTAGACAGTGGTACAGTGATGTAGAATCCATCACATAATTTGATCAGAATTCGAAATGTAGCTGGATAAATAAAATTTTGTAAGTTTATCACAAATGTTATAATTTCTCTAAGACAGGAATAAAAAGTAAAATTTTATAAAAATCTTTATAGTGTTATATGTTAACAATTTTAAAGTTAGCCCTTGCAGGTTTTATGTAAGTTATTCCTGCTTAGAATCTTACATTGTAATACACTGGGATGTGTTCACTGTCACATTTTCTTGTTTGTAGTTCACTCTTCTTGGGTGGTATTTGTTGAAATATACCTCTTGAACATTAGGTGAGAATGTAGGGAACCCTGTGTGAAAGAACTACGACCTTTTAAAGCCATACTCTTATATTCTTAGTTTATTTAACAGTGCTTTCAATAGCTCTGATTTTATAGCATCATGTGACAGAAGAATTAATGTATAATGAATTGTAAAGAATTCATGAAGAAGTAATTGTGGGTGTTGTCCTGGTGTTATGCTTGGAGGGAACAAAGAAGACCATGAAAATTCTCAGTTGAGATAGTTAATCTCTGGCCCAGGATTTGAATTTGGGACTTCCCAGGTATGAACTTGGAGTGTTAACAACCCAACAGCAACCTTCAATTGATTTTAAGGACAATTTTATCAGTTCTTTTATTTAATGTTTAATTATGATGAATTATACAGTAAGCTTAATTGTCCATTATTAAATACTCTAAATGCAGTTCTTCCTTCCACCTTTTCTTTGATCATTGAAGGAATGTTTTATGATGTCATTACAAGCCTGTCTAAATTACCAGAAACCAAAAGAATTGCATACATAGTGACAGTATTTCAGATGCTAAAGATGAATTAACAGGTATGCATGTGTCAGGTGGCATAATGCTGGTAGTGATATCATCATAAATGATGATGACAGTATAGAAAGACCCTTTGTCGTAAATGTTGAACAGAGGGTTAGTAATGCTAGCTGGGAGATTGGCCATCCAATTATCCAAGATTTTATGAAGTTCAGTATTATGCCTAGATGTAAAGCTTCAGTAGGAAGTGAATCTGAAACAATGTTACACTGAGGAAAGCGACAGGAAAGGTATCAGAGCTGCCACCTGAAATTTATATGTGAACTGTTTCATGTGTGAAATAGAAGAGCAATGCACTAAACTTATATTTGTTGGAAAAATGAAAATTGGCAATTTTCTTATGCATGTTTATGATCCAGCTGTTTTAATTACTTCATTTTTACTTCCCCAGGTTCAGTTTTGACTCACCACTGTGATTCATTATGTGAAGTCTTTAATTTTATATTCAATCCATGGACATGAAATATCACTGAACATTTCTAACATATTTTAAAGACAGAATAAAGAGAACATGTTTATATAATTTGGCTGGCTTCTTTCAAGTTTAAGAACAGTAGGCATGTCAAGGTCTCTTCTTAACTTACATTTTGCTTCCTTGCAGTGACATGGCACGTATACAGTTTCGCCTCCCAGATGGATCTTCACATTCCCATAATTTTGGAGTAACAACCACTCTGGGTGAAGTAAGGTCATATGTAGCCACACAACTCAGCTTTCCATTTAGGTAAGTATGTATAAAAGAACCTATGAAGCGCGTACCAAATGATAGGTAGGAAAGTTGATGGCAAACATTACTTTATGTTTTCTCAATTTGTTAAATTTTTTCAAGTTGATTATCCTCTTACCATTTTAATTCCCAGAAACTCTGCTGCTGGCTTACTTTGTAGCCTGAACATTTCTTGCACTACACAGACAGCAATATTTTACTGTGAAGAAATGACTAGCAAATGATCTACAGACATCAAAAAAGTAAATGTAGGCACTATCTAGCGACACAGTTGAGGCGTACGTGCACAAAATTTGTTTTGAAATAGAAACATCTTGTGTTGTCACAGCATGTTCCTACCACTGGACAAAGCAATGGTAGCAGCAAACCTTGGAAATGGGAAGAAAAGTGTTCATTCATTTATTTCTTCTTTGTTTGACAACTAGTAAATTTGCAGTCTGTAAATGAATCTATTTGATTCTGTCAGGAAAATAATTATTATAATAATTAGAAAGTTTTGGGAGCAACTTATTGCCTATTTTCCTTAGATATGACACGAACCACATGGAAAATGACACATCCAATAATTCTTTTATTTTTGCATATGTGTTCACTGCTGTGGTAAAGTTTTTACCAAGGATACACAGACCAATGGGAAGTATTTATGAAGTATGCTGATGAGATGGGCTTAGAAACCATGATATATGAGGGACAGTCAAATGAAAACGGGTCAGAAGACAAAACATATTAAAGAACATTTCTTACCTCAAAAGTAATCTCCAAAACTGTTAATACATTTATCCCACTGGGAGATAAGACGGTCAGTCCCATCCTTGAAAAAGCTTGTGGGCTGTCTAAGGAACAACAGCTTTACCCAGCCACACACGTCTTCGTCTGATGCAAACTGATGTCCACAAATATCTCTCTTCAGGTCTCCAGATATGTGAAAATCAAATGGGGAGAGATCTGGGCTGTAGGGGGGATGTTGAAGCACTTCCCAACCAACTCTCTAGCATATTCCTCACAGTTGGCGGTGTGGGGGCGCGCATTATCATGAAGAAGGGTAATGCCGTTCAGTAGCATTCCAGGGCGTTTTGACTGTATGGCACGTCTCAGTTTCTA